TATGTCGAATCTTCTTCAAACTCTTGAAAAAATACACTTCATTAATTTTGTTGTTTTTCCTGTTTTTTTTTTGTTTTTTTTTGTTTTTTTATTTCTGACGATTACTAACAATTATCATGAAGTATGTACGGTCAAACACTTACAAAAGAATATATTTATTTAATTCCTAAATAAAAAATATATTTCCTTGAATCTTTTTTCTTTCTTCCTTTCTTTACTCTCTCTCTCTCTCTTCCCTTTTTTTTTGGATTTTTATCACGATTGTCATTATATATCTATAATGCAAATAAATATTGGCCTAAATTCGTATTATAAATTTTCTAGATTAAAACTCACGAAAATGAAAAAATTTGATGACTATTGCAATTGTCTTTAAGTACGTGTGATGTGAGTTACCATAACTCGTTTAAATTTGTCGAAAGTGTTTATCTAAACAATTTATCTTTTATCTTTCACTCTCTATTTCTCTCTCTGTCTCTCTCTCTCTCTCTCTCTCTGTCTCTTTTTCTGTTTCTATCCCTGTCTATCTTTTATAAACACACAAGTTCCTCAAGGCTTCTCTGTAAACAATGACATCTATTCACAATTAGTATCTAACATCGTTCCGTTATGCTTAGTTCGAGTAATAACTCCAAACGCATTCAACACGATAGCATAGAAAACTTTATCGAAGATCGAGGAAATTATCTGTTAGAACATTGGAATACCTGACACGTAATTGTTTAAGCAACTATTCAATTATAATTTGTAGTTAAGATAATGGATCTCCGATACTATTCGATCCATGAGCGTACCGATAAAATTTTAATATGAAGGTTAAATATAACTAAGTACATAAGTAATTACAAGGTTTTAAGAAAAATAAAGAGAAAGGAAAAAAAAGAAAATTATAAAAAGAACATTGCCTTTATAATTATAATTAAATAACTTTGTGTTGATGGACGTGTAAAAGAAAAGAAAAAAACAAAAAAAAAAGAAAAAAAGAAAAAGAAAAAGAAAAAGAAAAAGAAAAAGAAAAAGTAAAAAGAAGAGAAGAGAATAAAAAAGACGAACAATAAAATAAAAGATAAAACGTTCTAATCACTTTCATTTACATTTTGTATACATATGTATGTATATATCATTAAAACAACAAAGAAGGAAATCGTACGAATGATCGATATAAGAGAGAGAGAGAGAGACAGAGAATGTTAGTCTGACAAGGTCAATTTTTCAAGGGTCATTATTATCTAAACACTTTATATACTCATCCAATATACTTTGTAATTACTCGATGCGTAGATACATATGTACATATGTATGTACATACATATGTAAAGTAACTAAGTACGTACATGTAATACAGTTTATAAAGTATAAATAGTAAAATACTTACGGAACATGTTATCATCTCGTCACGATCACTTTGACGATATTATAACATGTTTGGTAATAGTGAAGATCCTTATCCGTGTGTTATGTTTTTATGTCTATCAAAAAAAGGAAGCTTTATATTAAACGTGTATAGTAAGATATGAGGATATAGCGATAGGAACGACGATTTGATAAGCGAGTTAAAACTGTAGTGTCATTACTTTGAAGTATGCCACTCTCGAGAAACACGTGTATACACATATGTACGTGGATATCCTTTTAAATACGACAATGGCCAACGCAACTCTTTGCTTTCGACATTTTTTTCTCTTTTTTTTTTTTCTTTTTTTCTTTTTATTTTTTTTCATTTTTTTTTTTTTTTGGCAAGTATCCCGATGTTAGAAATGAAAGTGAGTGCGACAGAAAGAGAGATAGATAGATAGAGAGCTGAGAGAGAGAGAGAGAGAGAGAGAGAGAGAGAGAGAGATTGCTTAGTTTCGTAGGCCACGTCTGCACTCATCGACACTCGACCCAGTATTCGTAGGAACGTGGCAAAAAGGGAGATACTAAAGGATATATAATACCGTCTACCTACTATAAAATATTTTAGAATGAGAACAAACATCGCTTCGAGCTAAAGAATAGTCAGCAATAATCGAAGGACGAACGATGGAATTTGTATCTTACAATTTTATCGACTTATTATGTTATATATCCATCTATCAATTTGTATAACTGAAAGTATGATATCACTTAAATGACAAATTTTTCATTTTTAATACTTATATATATATATATATATATATATATATATATATATAAAATTGATAAAATAATAAAATCGATTGTTCGTTCATTAATATTTATTTTTTTTTTTTAATATATTTTCTTATTTGTGTATAGATATATATGCATTATTCATAATGAATATATGCAATATATTTATTTATTTATTTATTTATTTATTTATTTGTATAGGAAGGAAAAGTATCTCTAATTAGGTACTTCTTTGCAATGGTAATAATATAATTAATATTATCGTCATAGTTTCAAAGAGCAATTAATGGTAAACGTTAAGACTTACGTCTAACTCGTTTTTGTTATTAGTCTCAATAGAAATCTATAATAAGAAAGAGTTGAAAGAGTTTTCATTGGTGTTAGTTGGAAATCCTTGTAAAAAGATATTAAATAATTAGAATATACGCTAATGAACACTTTAACGATCATATCTACTGTATAAATTAAATTTAATATATGCGTATTTGTTATTTACATATAGTGAACATACATATGTATAAATATTAGATGTACATATGTATGTATATATCATATTCTTCATATCATTGAAGATATTTTACAATTCGATAATGGAGAAATAAACAATGAATAATTGTAAAAAAAACTTATTATTTGTTTCTTTTTAAAACTATTTAAATATTTCCCATTAACATCACGAATTTCACGATATCACATAGAATTTAATTAATAACTCATCATGAATTATAGCAATATGAATGATTCTCGTGTAATGAAATCAAATAAACTTACATAACGAATGTCGATCAAAGCGATGGTGAAAATAAATTAACTATGTCAAATTAAATAAATAATTAACTATTTAATAATTTTGAAAATTCTTTTAATATTTTAGATACTCTAAATTTGAAATTATATTGTTGTTCTGTTTCTCTATTTAAGATCGTAAAAACGATAGATCAATTATTTACGTAATACTTTAATACTTCAAAGTAACGTGTTTAATTAATGTTAATAAACATTAAATTAATTCGAATAATCGTATAATTCGATAATATTATTTTAGATAAAACTAAATTGCTAATAGTTAGTTAGTTAATTATATCATAGGAGAAGGGATTACTAGTACCAAACAACGTTCAATTTAATGATACGTGTTAGTTGAGTATCCTATAACGATAGATCCCATGCAAGAGATTCAAATCGGTTCATTTCGAAGGTGGTTACTCGCAGGGTGGTCTCCGTTAATTAGAAAGTTCATTAACACGTCGCACTGATAAAGAGAATGTATTCGCGTTTGAATAATTTCGTATTTCGTAATTTCAGCATCGATAGACTCGAAAGTAAAAATTAAATGAAAGAAAAAAAAAAGATAACAGATAAAGAGATAAAATGAAAGAAAGAGAGAGAGAGAGGGAGAGAGTCGTAGGTACTTTGACCTTGCCTATATTAACTCTCCTATATTTATTTCATTTCTTCAAACGTTTTTTATATATACATCGTATATCTCAGACTCTATTTCATTTTATTTAATTTTTTAAAAATTATCAATAAACAATACGTTATGTTAAAATTTAGTTATATGTTCTAACTAGTTTCTATTAGAAAAGGAGAAGGAGAGAGCAAAAAATATTTATGAACGAACAACAATTTTGATATTTTCTCTTATTCGTGAAATTTAATATTAAATAAAAATCGTGTGATATATATATATATATATATATATATATATATATATATATATCGAATAGAAGCTAGTTAGAACATATAAGTAAATTTTAACATAACGCTTTGTTTATTGATAATTTTTAAAAAATTAAATAAAATGAAATAGAGTGCAGGAGAAAGAAATAATTTATAAATAATCCTATATACGGTTATCGACGATATATGATAATTAAGATAATAAATTTTGCATTAGAACGTTTATCAATTAGTAAATAATTTTCAATATTAATGGAATTAATCAAAAAAATTTTTATCATAAGTAATACGTGTCCATTGAAATAAAATTAAAAGCAAAATTTAAATAATTCTCGAACTTTGAATATTTGGGACGATAACTTGAAGATCATAAATTTGTATTTGATTATTAATCATTTTTTATTGATGATGAAATAATTTTAATATTATCTGTAGATGAGCTTTTGTCATAGAACACATCATTGAAGTAAAATTATAGTTAAAGTTTCAATGACCCTTAACCTTTACATATATACGGTGATTGATAGTAATGACCATACATAAGATTATAAATTAATGTCGAAGTATTGATTGGTTGATAAATAATTTCAATATCGTCCTATCGCATTGAAATAGGATAAAAGTCCAAATTTTCAATAAATCTTAACCTAAATGCAGTAAGTTGAAGTAATAATATAAAAGAATAAATTTCTATTTAATTTATTAATCCTTTGATTAGCAAGTAAATATTTTCTTTTCAAATTTTTTTTCTTTAAAAAAAAAAAAGAAATAAAGATACGTTCGTCCCGACGATATCACGATGATTCTCTTCGAATTAAAGAACAAAGAGAGAGAAAGAGAGAGAGAGAAAATCATTGAACCAAACAAATGTGTATCTATAAAAAAATCAATCGTAATAAACAACGAATACATTCAATTGAATATATATTGAAATAGAATCTTAAAAAAATATTAATATAAATGATATTCCGTGTAAATATGATAGAAGACAAAAAAAAAAAGAATAATTAAATATCTTGGGTAAGTGAGAAGTGAGAAAAGAAGGGGGAGAAGGAAGAAAGAAATAAAAAATAAAAAAAGGAAATAAATAAATAAAATAAAAAAAAAAAAAAAAAGAAAATAAAATAAAATAAAATAAAAAAACAAAGAAGGTGGTAGCTGACTAAGAGAGGTCTACTGTGTTTCAGCAGCATCCGAATGCAACCAACAGTAGCGAGACGAGCGTGGGTGGTGTATCGGGTGCATGCGGGAGTAGCGGTATGCCAGGAACAGGGGATGCTGGCTGCAGTAGCAGCAGGGGTGGAAGTAGCAGCGGTGCTGGTGGAGGTGCTGGTACAACAGGACAGGGCTGCGAACAGGTCCCATCATCTCACTCGACCAGGGAGAGCCACGCCAAGTTCAGGCACGGCCTACTACAGCTTATGATCCATACGATCGATCCGCTCCACGACGGTCAGTCCCGCGCCGGTATACCAACTCCACACTCTATCACTCTCGCTTGCCAGCTTTCTTGCTTTTTGCTTAAAACAATGCACGCTCTATATTTTCTAATTTTTCTTTTCTTTTCGTTTCTTTTTTTCTTTCCTTTTTTCTCTCCTTCTTCTTCCTCTTCTTCTTCTTCTTCTTCTTCTTCTTCTTCTTCTTCTTCTTCGTTTTTTTTTTTTTATTGTTATTATTGTCGTTATCGTTGTCATAGTTCTTTTTTTCTCTTCTTCCTCCACACTTACTACTTCTTACCTCATCTTTTCTCATTCTTGAGATTTTCTTCTTTACCTTTACTATTTCCTCTTTTTTATCTGTCTGTATGTCTGTTTTTATCTCTCTCTCTCTCTCTCTCTCTCTCTCTCTCTCTCTCTCTCTCTTTCTCTCTTTTGCTGCCTTTTACCTTCTTTTGTACTCATTCCTATCTCTATCTCACACTTTTTCTTATATACCCCACTTTCTCTTTTACCTTTTCTCTATCCTCATCCGTCTATCTGTCCATCTGTATATATCCGTCTATCTTTATCCAGTCTTTTTTCTTTTTTTTATTTGTCTTCTTTGTTTTTCCCCTTTTTTGTTTCGCCTTTCTTTCTTTCTTTTTTCTTTTTCGAATCACCTCATCCTCGTTCCAAAATCTTTATCCTACGACGCTCTGAGCTTACGCAGTTCTGCGCAAACGCACAGCACGCTGCGTTTGTTCGTTCGAAAGCATCTTGAAAGTTGTCATCGGTCGACTTTACCAGGTACATATACATATATATATATATATATACATATATATATATTTTTTTCTCTTTTTGTCTTGTTTTTTATCTTTTCTTTTATTTTTATTATGAGTAGTAAGTACTGTTGTATTATCGAAGAAGGATTTTTTTTCATTTTTTCAAATTCCCGTAGATCGTTGCGTAGAGACCCCTTGACTTGTATTATATTCTCTTCGAATTAATAATAATCCAGTTTTAATTGTCGATCGACGCATATATTTTTTGATCCTTGTTATAATGATTTTGATCTATTAATATTTTAATTATTTATTTACGTATATATATATATATATATATATATATATATATATATCGGTTGTATTTGATTTGAATGGAATTATAATTGAGTTAACTGGATTATTATCGGTATGTAATTAGAATAACAATTTATAAAAAAATATTTTAGTCCTTCCCCCCAGTTTCGATAAAACGTTGATTCATAATCGCGAATTCAATGATTTTAATTCATTATATAAATCATTTACGTTCTTGTATGTATATATACATTGTATACATGTATATGTGTATGTATATATATATATATATATATATATATATATATTACCCTCGTATATTTCAAGATAGTTGTGTATATTCGCCATTTTATCGACGAGCGTTTAAAAAGCGTAGATTAAAATTCAACCCTGACGAAAGAAAATGCAACCTTTCGCAATTTCAACCCTATACAATCTCTCTTTTATATCTGTCTTTCGTTCGACTACGATAATAAACGTCAGCTGAGCTTTCTGAGCTTTTGAATAACGAGTCTCGTACAAAGTATGTTATATATGTATACATATATATATGTATGTACATATGTAAATATGAATATATATATATATATATATATATATATATATATATGTATATATATATAACGAACCAACGAGAGTCGGAGTGCGATCATTTTCAAGATATAATTGGGAAAGTTTTGTAACGCCTTTATGAAATTTGTAACCGTCCATGCGATCCCATTATGTTCTAGTTTGTTACCGAGATGTACACTTATGTACTCATTCCAAGATAAATATTGAATTAAATAAATCGAATTTCTATGATGTTGCAAATATTAAATATAAAATTTTTATTTATTTTCTAAAAAATTACACACACATATATATATATATTCTTTTTGTGTATATTTTTTATATTGTATTAAAAAATTATTAAATATTTATTAACCAATATTATTAAATACTAAAATAGACACGTTAATCACAAATTATATAATTCAAAATGTATATACATAGCATATATATTTTATACATCACATATATTGAAGGTCAATAATCTTAAAATACAAACTTCAAGAATTGAATTTGATCGAAAATTTGAATAGATTAAAATAACTTTAGAATTACTCTGATCTTGCAAATTTAAAAAGATATAAAACTTTACTATTAATTTTTTTTTTTAAATACACTACATTTTTTTTTCTTTTTTATTAATTAAAATTATTTTTTATTAATTAACGAATATATATATATATATTCATTAATTAAAAAAGAAATAATTAATAAAAAAATATAAAAATTAAATTTCATTTTATTGAAATGACACAATACAAAATATGAAAAATAATATTACGTATCATATATCTTGTGGAATAGAAGGAGGTCAGTAAATTCAATAATAAATTAAATAGAATTTAATCAAAAATTCGAATAACAAGGGAATAAATTTCGTCTCGTATTGGCCAAATAGAAATCTTAATCCACCTAGGAGTTAGATTATGTATGTAATCTCTAGATAAAATTGATTTTGGAGTCGGTTTAACGTATTAAGGGGAAGGTGGTAGTGGTGGTGGTTATATAAATGGGTCAGGTCAGGCTGTCGTGAAAAAGAAAAGGCCGATCGTCAATTAGACAAAGCTTTCATGAGAATCTTCTCAGGAACGATTCTACGTATCCGAGTTGAGGAGAACATGAAACCATGCGGAAGTAACATATATTGACGAGTTCTTCGTTCTCTTTCTATTCCTTCATATGCCTTCTCTTTATTTCTATATATATATATATATATATATATATATATATACACGCATACATACACAGGTGTATCTATCTCCATCTCTCCCTTCTATTCACCCCATCCCTTTTCGTCTACCACGAAAGTGGAAGAGAATCTTCTCGTGAAAGCACGTCATTAATCTCGATTGCGTGGGAAATGTTCAATACCTGTTAAAAGAGAGAGAGAGAGAGAGAGAGAGGGCGGGGGGAGGGAAAGGAAGAGAGAGAGAAAGAGAGAGAATGTGTGTACACAGACATATCCGTGAGAGAGTGAAAAACGCTCGGGAAGTGATCTCTTTCCGATGGGAAGAAGGAGAATAAAAAAACAAGAAAAAAGAGAGAGAGAGAGAGAGAGAGAGAGAAAAGGAAAAAAAGGAAATGAAAGAAAAAAAAAAAACAGAGGAGACTAGATGTATTTCCTATTTTCTTCCTTTTTTTCTTTCTTTCTTTTTCTTTTCTTTTTTTTTTTTTTTTTTTTCTTTTTTCTCCCTTCGTCAACGACATTTTCACGAAGACCGTCGAGAAGGAATGAAACGAGAACGAATGACGAATTGATAAATAGAAATAAGACGCATTGACAGAGATGAATATTCTGTAGCTTTTCGTAGCTCAAACGAATTTGTAAAACGCGTTTTGAGTACATCCGGAAAAGTAGTAGTGGATTTATCTCTGTATCTGTGTTCGTGCCTATCTCTCTTTCTTTCTCTCTCTCTCTCTCTCTCTCTCTCTCTCTCTCTTTCTCTCTGTATGCGTGCTTGTATATATATGTGTGTGTATGTGTGTGTGTGTGTTTGTGTGTATAACTGTGTGTATCGGGACCCTGACCTAGAAAGCTTCGTGTATCGATCGAAACTAGCGAATCCACGTTCTCGTGGGCTTGCCTTCCTTTTCCCTTCCTTTAACTTCATGCCTTTAACGTCATCGAGACACCACGCTGTGCTGACATTCGAGATAACACTGTCACCGACAAAATTCTCTCTCTCTCTCTCTCTCTCTCTCTCTCTCTTTTACTCTTTTTTTGGCCTATCCCTTTTTTAGAGTTAAGAAGAGGTAAGAGGGTTGAATTTGAAGGAAGTAGCTCTCGCCAACGATCCTGTGGTAAGCCGATCGGAGCTCCTATTTAATCCAGATTTCAACCTCCCCCCTCCCACCAACCCTTTTTCAGTCCTTTTTACAACGTTAGACTCTTCTCGGTCGATGCTTTTAGTCTAGGCCACGAGACGTTCCACTTTCAAATCAACAGTCATTGTCAAATAAATTCTTCTTTACGTATATATGTATATATATATATATATATGTGTGTGTGTGGGGGAGGGGAGGCAGGAGGAAGTGTGGATGGGTGTGTCCCATGTTAAGTAATGTCAATTTTAATTATCGATTGAAATTTTATTTATTATCTTGTCATTCTTTCTATTTCTTTTCTTTTTCTTTTTTCGAAATTGTACGATATATTCATTCAAGTGAAGAAGAATTCTTTTTTGAAATCGTACAATGTGTTCATTTACTTGTATAGATTTCTTTTTTTTTCTTTTTTTCTATTTTTCTTTTTATGAAGTTGTAAACTTAAAAGTTAAAACGTTGTAAACAAAAGTCTTTACGAAATCCAAAAAATATTTGGATTCAATTTTTTTCCTCGCGTTTTTCCTTTTTCCTTTTTTTTTTCTTTTTTTCTTTTTTTTTTTTAATTCATAAAACACGTTCGTTTGACAGCGAACATTTTTTTTTTTTTTTATAAAGAACATTAAATATTTTTTATTTCGCTTATTAAAACTTGACCATTTAAAAAATATCGAAATAAACTCAAGAAAGATTGAGAAATTTCGAGTGAAGGGAGGAGATGGAAAATAATAATAATAATAATAATAATAATGATAATAATAATAATAATAATAATAATAATAATAATAATAATAATAATAATAATAATAAAAAAAGATAAATTTATTGAACAATAAATCTGACACCTCGTGACAACCTCGTGAATGTCTTATTAATTATCGTTTCTTTTTTTTTTTTTTTCTTTTTTGGAGATCGCAAAAATGACGTAACGCAACGTTAAGTAATTACATAGATCGAAAAAGGTAACCTGCCTACTTTTCTAATTTTCCAACCAATCGACTTGGACTTTTCGTAGAGTAGATCTGCTCTCTGACTTTAATCCGTCGTTATTAAAGTGTCAGTTCCACATTTAGACGTGAAATCTTTCATGCGG